TCCCTCCCTCCCTCCGCCCTCCCACCCACCTCTCTCTCCCTCCCTCTCAAAATAAGTAAATAAACTTTCAAAAAAAGAGTATATTTTTAACTAAAAAAAAAGCAAGTTGCAGAATCATACATGTATCATGACCATGTTATTCTGAGGGTACACGGTATCAGAGTCGTAACCCCTAGGCGCAGACAGGCGTGGGAAACAGAACAGACACATGGAGAAGGTTCAGATGAATGAAAGGCTGCCCCCAGGGGAGGGGAAAGAACAGTCTGGGACGCGGGTTCAGCCCCCACCGTCGGTCTCTGAGAAGCCCGCTCGGGTTCCCGTGGTTGGGTTCTGCAGAATCCCCACTTCGAGCTAGCGTGAACGGGGGACCCGCATCCGGGCGTCGCCGTCCTGGCACAGTGGAGACCACAACGACAGCCCGCAGCTCTGCCCGCTCGGGGCCGGCGGTCCCCACTGTCCTGGGGCTGCCCCGGGTGGAGCGGTCCCTGCCACCGCTGTGCCCCCAGCTGGGGCCAGCCTGCCGCGGGGCACGTCCGGAAAGTGAGCCGTTTCTTCCCTCCTCGGGAGCGCCGCCAGACCGCGGGTGTGGACCGAGGAAGGGGAGGCACGCAGGCTCCGTCCCCGACACGCCGTGTCCACTTGCCGGCTGGTGGCCGTGGCGCACGCTCGGCAGCGTGGCTGGACGGTCAGATGACACCCGGTCACGGGCGCTCGGGCGGCACGGTCGCCGGGCATCGCGGGTCCTCTTTCCATCTCCACCGGGGCCGAGCGGCAAGCCGGGGGCGGTTTCTCAGCACGAAAGCGACTGGCTGCGGGAGAGGGGGTGGGTTTTCACGGCTGCTCTTCCACACCCTGGGCGGGTGCCCTGTGGCTCTCCTGCGACACCTGACGGGGCTTCGGGCAGGATCCCTGGTGTTGACTTTGCCGGTGACGGGCCCGTGTGCACGAGGAGCCTGGACTTGCTCCGGTCACCGGAAGACAGCTTCTATGGGCGACTCAGCCAGTGTGTCAGAGTTAGCCACTCACACGTGCGCGTTGCTTCCAGAAACCTCCCCAGCCGTGTGCGGCTGGCAGGGCGCGTGCCGGGCAGCCCCTTGAATTCCACCGGGAGGAGCTGTGGCTGATGCTCTGGCCTCCCCCCCCGCCCCCCAAAAACTCCCCGTCTCGTTTCCTTCCGCGTCACTGAGGCGTCCGAAGTGTTGCCGCCTTCTGCCCGTCAGATCCAGTCGGCGCAGTGTCGTCAAGGTCGTGGACCAGGAGGTGGCAGGTGGAAAGTCGAGGTGACGAGCCTCTGTGCAGAAGCTTTAAGGCGGAGAGGAAGAGGGCGACGTAGCCCGAGGCACGTGGTCCAGGCACCCTGTGGCGGATGCTAGCACGCTGCTTCTGGGGGTCCCCGCAAGTTGCCGTGGAGAGAGTATGCGTCCAGGCAGCAGCGACAGGTTCCCCAAGATGCCACATCTGGGACAGCCACCCAAGAGTGGGGCGGGGGGGGGGGGGGGGGGGGTGGGGTGGGCATTAAGGGTTAGGTAGGCCTTCCCTACGTAATTTCTTTTTTTAGCAGCACTCTACAAACGTAACCATTCTCAATAGACTTGTTTTTTTCAGAGGAGTTTTGGATTCATGGAATAGCTAAGGAATGAGTGTGGAGCTCCCAGACACCCCATCCCCAGGTCCCCACATTTCTGCCATCTTCCCTCCACGTGGCACACGCTCGTCATGGTTCACGAGATTATCACCGGACTTTTGGCCTAATGTCATTTTTTCTGTCCGAGGATCCCACCGAGGTGGTTCTGGGAGATTTGGTCATCATTTCTCCTTAGGCTCCCCTTGGCCGTGGCAGTTTTTCCAGACTTCCTTTGCTTCTGTGGCCTTAATGGTTTTGAGGAGCGCTGGGCAGATCATTCTGTAGGATACCCTGCTGTCGGCACCGACCTCGCGTTCTTCTCATGGTCAGACTGGGGTTATGAGCTCAGGAAGGAAGACCACAGAGGTACAGTGGCATTCTTACCCCGTCATATCAAGGGTGCGTACTGTTAGCACGTCTTACCACCATTGACCTTAACATCGGTCACCT